CATAGGCTGAGATCCAGTCTGCAGACAAGAAGTTGGCTTGCTGACTGCTCTTGGAGAGTGGAGCAGAGGCAGGACCTGCCCACAGGTATTTGCTGTCTCCTCAGCTCACCCTTGTGAGCAGCCCTTTGGGGTGATGGGGATCAGAAGCCTTCCAAGGCCTGTGAGTGACTCCTCAGGTTCTCTGTGCTTTGACTACTCTGCAAGTAGGGTTCTTATTTTGGGTTGTTTTTTTTTTTGGGGGGGGAGGTTCTGTACAGCTGGTGGCAGAATTTCAGAAAATAGATGGAAAATCAGATCTTTCTTTGAGTCTTCGCTCATGCAGAGTTTAGCACCTCATAGGTCAAGAACGGACTACTAGAATTTTGCTTTCAGTTTAGTTACTGGACATTGTAGTTGAAAGCATTGAAGAGTTGGGTGAAACTGAGGGCTGAATTAAAGAAGTGGTAACAAAATGTCTGTGCGCCCAGAGAGGTACAAACAATTCACTGTACCTGCTGTAGCACTGGAACTGCTTATGAACCTCATTTAGCATCCTGCAGTGGGTGTTACATGGGTAGCACAACTCTCAGTACTTTTGGTGTGAAGCCTTGATTTTATTGTACAGCAGAGGTTGCAATGTTCCAGTCTCCTGGCTGATGTAGGAGACTGGAACTATCTGTGTCCTATCACTCTGCATGCTTTCAAAATTAGTTTCAATCCTAAGCTGCTCAGGGAAGTGGTTGCAGCTGAGCCTGGAATTGGTGGAAAGCATTTCCCTGGAATTTCCTACCTGGTAGTTAGAAGGTGACCAGCAGCCTGACTCTGTGTTTTCTCTGCAGGTAGATCAGGAAAGGGAGCAAGGTGGTTGCTGTGGTGGCTGATTTCATCTCTTGTAGCCTTAATTGACCTAAATGTGTACTTGGGAAAGCTTTACTTACTGCATTGCTATCTGTAAGCTTGTAATTGCTATCATTGAAACTTAAACCGGAGATAAATGAGATGCTGTGAAGTTCTCTTTGTAATTATAGTGTTTGTTGCATCCTTGAGAGGGTGTTTGAGACCTTTTCAGACCTCCTGGATCTGTTGCAGCTGAACTGTGTGCAGTTTTACTTGCCTCCAGCCTTCAGTGCCTTCTCTGACTCTCAACTACTGTTCCCAAACATGACTTTTGCTGTACTGTAGGTTTTCTATAGTTCAGGCTTTTAGAATACTTGTCTGTGTCCTGACAAAGAACAGATGAGCACAAAGGAGAGGCTATGAGAGGAAAACTCACCTGCCACACTGCAGAGCAGCTTTGCTTGAGAATGGATGTGAGGGCATTGCTCTGTCTATTCTGCAGTCAGTTTGCTATGGGCTAGAGTAGAAACACCCCTCAGTGCTGTGAGCTGATAGCTTTGGTTTTATTGTTCTATTTGAGTTTTCCTTTTTTTTTTTTTTTTTTTTTTCACTTCCAAGAACAAATCTATTAGTGTAATGTGGGCATGTTGATCCAAGAAACCTGACTAGACTGTGTAAGCAGGTTGCATTTCCAGGTTAGTTTGATTATTGTCCTTTAATAGATGGAAGCTGAAAGCAGGTGAAGTGTGTGTAATGTAAACTTGCAAGTCTCCGGCCTCTGTGTGCAGACCTTTTACTACTTTCCATCTAAGCACTGTGCGCTTCTAACAGTGAATAAGCTTTTCATCAAATGAATGACTAATCCTTATCAAGCAAGTGTTCATCTTTACAATTAGGCATTCATGTTCTTTAATTACATGGTGATGGGTGGACACACTGGTCATGGGTGCATTTGAGAATTCAGGTTCTTCATTCTCTCCCACTGCTGGTAGCAGGAATTTGCTGTGAACGGGGCATTATATTATGGTTGGATACCCATTATAATTAAATCATCATCTTTGTCTATGCTCAGTGAACCTTTCTTTGAGTAACTTCCAAAAGAATGCACCTTTTTTCCTCTTTGGGAAAATCTGAATTCTCTGAGGAGAAAGGAGGAAGATGGAACAAGGTAAATATTTTGAGGTCTGCTGGGCTTTCCTTGTTGGCTTGGCTGATGGATTATGGTCAAGGCATAGTTGTTTTCTAATGCAGAATACAATAGCTTGCTTGTTTTCTTTTGCTCTGGACTGGAATCTCTTAATCCCTCCAGACTCAAGCATGAGTACCACATGATTTGAGGTGTTTGGTTAGTGTACTTCACTGCAGCAGAGCATCCATGTATGTAACAGACAAGTAAACTGAGACTGCAGATAGAAGCCACATGGAAATTTTTAGTTCTTGAGAACCATGTTGTTTAGTATTTTATTGCTGGGTTGCGATCTGGCAAAACCCGGGGGAAGCAGAGTTAGACTTCTGAGTAAGGAGATCAGATCTCTGCTCTGGAGCTCCTACCTAGGTCATGATAAAAAGGACTACAACTTCAGTTTACTCAGAGTATGCCTGTATGTCCAGAACACCTCCACATGTTCAAACTGTGTATTAGGGTGTTGATGTGGAAGCTTCCTTGGTGGTGGTACAGCTCACCATAGTCCTTCCTTCAGAATCTGTGACCATATGGGACATCAGTGGATATGTGGCTGTAAAAGTAATACTCACAAACCCTGGTTAATGAATAATAAATATTCATTAAAAGTTAATTTCAGCAAATAGTAGTTTCTTGTATAGCTGCATAATGTTGGTACCAACATAGCCAGTCACTGTCATGATGCTTTCCCCCTCTTCAGTTCTGCAGGCTTTAGTAGCTGGAACCAGACTGGCTTCCATGTATCAAACTGGCATTTTGGCTTCTGAATGACAGGCTCAGCACTGATCTATGAGAGGGCTAGACAAGCTGAGTATGTTGGGGGTTCTACAACAATAGGATTCCCTGAAATGCTGAAGTTTGATGAACTGAGGGTGGTGAACAAACTCCACTGATTTGGAAGATGCTGATCTTGACTCCTGGTGCTGCTTTGCAGAATTTGGTCCATAAGCACAAGATCACTGTTGCTTTGCTTGGAGTAGCTGCAGTAACTGATTGTACCCACCACTGAAGCCTCTGCTTCTTCCCAGGCTGTTTACTCCCAACAAAAGAAATGCAGGAATACTCGGAGAGCTCTGGTCATGGTGGCTTTATACTTAGCTTATTACTCCAGCCAAATTGTCTTTTGCTTCTCAAGTGTTGACTGGTAGGCTGGCTTAGGAGCTCTCTAGCTTTCAATTGCTAAGGCACTAGAGGCTCTGTAATACGCTGCATAGGAACTTCTTCCTGTGAGCTCTGAAACACTGGTAATAACCCACCAGTGGAAGGGTCTAAAGGTGAGAATATTTTAGTAATTCCCTGAGAAAAGCAATGCCAATCCTGCTGTTGCAATCAACTTGGAGTGAGAAGCAATCTTGCAACCTGCTTGGTGTGCTGCTCACCTGGGAGGGTGGTGGTTCATTGCTGTCCCTGCCTGTGCTGGGCAGTGTGGTGCTCCTGTGGAGCCCTCGGACTTGTGGACAAAAGGATTTTGCTTGATTTGCCAAGTGTAAGATTGGCGTAACAAGGACAGTAAGAGCTGTTTCTTGCTTCCATTTGTTTTCAGACTAGCTTTCTACTGAGCTGTTTGTAGAAGGTACAAGTTGAGGTGCTCCTGTCCTTTGAGGGTCACACCCACAGGCCTATTAGTTTTAATAGCCTGTTGCATCATTCCTTGACTGCCATCTTCTCGTTCAGCACTGAGGTATGAGGACTTTTTCTCTTGTATAAGACAGCTTGATTTGTGCTGGTTGGGGAGGAAGCAGCGTGGCAGCTCGCTGGAGAGCAGGCTGTGTGCTCTGCCCTGTAGCTTGTTTTTCTGCCCGTGATTTCAAGTTATGGTCTAGTATTCTGAACTGCCCCAGCACTATGTCCCGCTCCCTGAGACCCGGCCGGTGCTCACCCAGAGGTGGTGATGCTCTGGCCAGCCCTTGCTGAAGCAGTGCCTTTACTTCTAGCATGCTTGCTCCTACACCCGGATTGTTTGGCATTCACATTAGAGACCTAGCAGAGCTAGGCCTTGTGTACTTGAACATGCTTCGAGTCCCAGAATTGCAATATGGTTAATCTGCTTCATCTCCTTTCAATTTCTAAGTATTTAAAACAAATGCTACTGTGGTTTCTGATTCTTATAACAAAACTCAGGTTTTAGTCTCATTATAAACACTTGCTGCCATGTGTTATTCCCAGCAGACCAAGGAATGCACTAATAAAGAATTCTTGTAAAACCATGCTGCAGGTTCAGTAACATTTGTCATGGAGCTAAAAAGACTTCACTTACCAAAGGTGAGGAGTGATAAAACATGCCTTGTCAAAAGAATTTGGTCTGAAGTTACTTGTATCATGAAAGGACAGGGAAGGACTTAAGTTTTTGTGCATGAAGTACCATATTAGAAACAAGCAGGTGGCTGGGGACAGTCTAGTTAAGCTGCAGTTTAAAGAAAGGCCTAATGCCAAAAACACTTGCAGAACCTAATTTATGTGCTTAAACTGCACAGTTCTTATACTGACTCTTGCCAAGACAACTGAAGAATTCCTGGAGCTGCTTTGAATTTCCAGGCAGGGTTTGGAGTGCTGTGGCTGCCCCTGCAGGTGCAGAGAACACTGAGGTCTGTTCAGGTGGTGTGGGTGCTGGAAAGACCTGTGGGAGTGGGGAGCTGGTGCTGTGAAGCCTATTGAGGTGCAGTTGCTGGTGCAGCCAGCTGGGTTTTTTGTTGCTTGTGGAAGGGCAGGTTTTGAACTTCCATGAACTGACAATCAGTAAATGTTAAACTGGGCTTGGAGCACCTGTTTTGTAGAACTTCAAGCTTCTTGTTTGACACTGGAAAACTTAGGAGGAAGAATGGGGTCCCTGTGAGGGGCTGGTGTTCTTAAGGTCATAGAATTCCAGCCTGGTTTGGGTTGAAGGGACCTTAAAGCACCCCCAGCTCCAACCTCTGCCACAGACAGGGATACCTTCCACTAGAGCAAGTTGCTCCAAGCCTTGTCCTGGTCTTGATAGATCTGCTGAAGTATTTGCAGCAAACTAAAATGTGGAAGGTGAAGGAACACCCTGGGACTAGTTCAGAGAATGAAGATCACTTGTGGTAAAACAACTGGGTGCCTCTATCACGTTCGCAAAAGAAAACACAATTGGCACTGTATTTCATAGCAATTAGTCAGGTCTTGCCGTTGTGTTCTCCCCAGGGGATTGTGCTAAGGGGTGTCGAAAGACTTGATTTAGCAGAGCTCATGCATGTTGAAACAGATACGATGGCTTGAGACTTCTCTGAAGGATGTGCTGTTGTTAGCTGATTTCCCAAGAGTCACTTCCCTTTAACCCCTCAAATCATGACCTGGGCACTTGGGTTATTTTAATAACACTTGATCCAGAACCCAGACTTTAAACATCTGGTGGTTTATTGTATGTAAGAATATGGAAGAGAAAGTAGTAGCTCTTCCCATGAAGCTGAGAATCCGCAGCTCATGCTGTGTGAGTGGCAGCTCAGCCCCCCTGTGGAATTCAGAGCATCTTTGCCTGGTGCTGCTGTGTTCCTCCAACACAGAGCTTTTTGTAACCTTTAAACTCTGTAAGAATAGAACAGGGATTTCTCCTGTTAAAACCTGCATTTGTTTAAAGAGTTGGCTCCTACTGAGTCACCTATGTCCTACATCTCTAGATCTCAGTTATTTAAATACCAAGGCGTGTGTCACCCTAAACTTACTGGGTGGGTAAGTTTTTCCTTGAACAGAAAGAAGTGAATGTGACCTGTAGCAAGCAGCTGTGCCTGTCTCCTTACACCTTCTTCATTCTGCAGTTTTGTTAATGTTTGGTGTTAAACTTAAGAGTTCTGCCTGTGAAAACCTGGAGATTGATCCAGATACTTCTGAGATGAAGAGTGTTCGATCTCAGCCTTACCTTGGAAGTGATGTGATGTATGTGTATCTGATGTCAGTTTTACAGGCTTCCTTTTTGGGAAGGAATGGGGAGAAGTCCTTATTAATGTCTCATCTAAACAAAACAGGCTGGGTGAATGCTACAACATGTCCTTGGTATATGGAATATCTCAATGTAGTGCTTGGTGGTGAAGTAACTTCAGTGGAAGGGTCTGAAGGCTGCAGTTCTGAAATAAGGAATCAGTCTAGTTAGGTTTGCTGTACTTTCAAGCCTCACTGACTTTTCAAAGGTAGAAGTAGCAGATTTTGTGTAAACCAGTAGGCACGAATTCTATTTTTAGTATTTCAGGGTAGCTTGGTGTAAAGTTTTCACAGAATTTGCTCACACTGAGCTGGAGGAATGGGACTTAAGGTGAGGTAGGTGCATCAGAACTCCACTGTGGTTCTTTCTCTTCCAGTATTTGAACTTTTAGCCACAAGTGACAGTGTTCCTTGTAGACAGGTTTGAGGTAGAGATCTGCAACTTAACCTTTGCTTCAGTGTTCTGCCAGCACACTGCATGTTCTCGGTTTAGCTTGCGGTCCTAGTGCCATGTTCAGCATGACTAGACTGAAGGGGAGTTTTTAATGCAGTGCTTCTAGACAGGCTTGCTGCAGGTAAAGCATTTAACTGGAGCTTCTGCAGTGCTTGATTTTTGTTTCTGTAGGTAAAATGGTCCTGTTGCTAAAGCTGTAGCATTAGGTAGAATGCTGCTGGTGTGCTGCAGTCTGGGATAGGCACAGCCAAGGGAGGGGATTTTCCCCCTCTGCTGCTGCTCCCCTTCAGTCCTCTGTCCAGCTCTAGGGCAACAACAGAAGAGGACATGGAGCTGTTGGAACGAGTCCAGAGGAGGCCACAGAGCTTCTGTGAGGGCCCCTTCTAATGCAAACCATCGTGTGATTCCTCCATGATCTGTGGATCATGTGAGACTGGAGCTAAGGATACTGTCTGCCTTACAGCACTGGGGTCTTGGGCTGGTGCAGGAAGGCCTGAATGCTGAAAGCATGGCCTTTTCTGGTTTCAAATTGTCCTTCAACAATGCAGCTTCTGAAACTGTTCTGTATCTCAGCCAGACTGAGTCTGAACACACAGTT